CTGACATCAGGTTTGCGTCGGAAGGCGAGCTCGTACGGCGTCACACCAGAGGGTAGTGAGGCGTGCTCCACGCGGTTGTGCACCCAGACGGCCTGCGCCAACGCCAGGTGCCACCAGTGATGCTGCACACCCATGTGCAGCAACATCGCCCGCACCGCCTCCACAATGCTGCGCATCTCCCTCTCGGCCATCCCATTCTGCTCCGGCGTGTATGGGCATGTGAGGTCATGGATGATGCCTTTGCCGTCGAGGAAGAGCATGAAGTCGTGCCCCAGGAACTCGCCACCCCGATCAGTGCGCAGCGCCTGCACCGTGGTCTTGCACTGTCGCTCTGCCATCGGGAGCCACTTCTGGAACGCCGCCAGCGCATCACTCTTCTGGGCCAAAGGGTAGGCCCAGACATATCGCGTCTTGCGATCCTTCAGCACCAAGAAGTAGCGGCTGCCGTCCTTAGCTGCTTCACGGAAAGGGCCACACAGGTCAGCATGCACCACCCCGAGCAACTCATCCTCCTCCTCTCCCACAGAAGGAAAGGTATGACGAGTGATCTTTCCCCAACACAGGAGACACAAGGTATGCCTGACTTGCCCCCCTTCTCCAAATCCAAGCCCTTCACTGACCCGTGAGCCGCTGTGCGCTCGATGGCATCAATACCAACGTGTGCCATACGCGCATGCCACAGGCCCCCCTTAGACCGCACGCCCGTCGCCAAGGTACGAAGTGCCACCGTTTCGCCTTCCTGCTGCTGCGTCAAACACGGCTGGAAGTTCGTGCAGAGAACACGCCCCTTGAACTCCGCACGACCAAGGAGCGATCCATCTGGTGCCCGCAGCAAAGTCACATCCCCGGCATCCAGCAGCTGCACACCACTATCACGCAGCTGCCCAGCAGAGAGAAGACTCGCCTGCACTCTTGGTACGTACAGCACGTCCGGCACCAAGACACGCCTGCCCCCCTCTCCAAGAAGAGTGACTGTGCCTCGCCCCTGCACCTCCTGAAGGGCGTCGTTGAAGCCGGTAACCTGTTTAATACTGCCGCCGCTGCTCATCTCCACAAAGGCAGAACGATCTCCCATGAGATGGTGGGAGCATCCGCTATCAAGTAGCACGACACTCGGGTTCGCCTTTACAGCAGCTGCAACAGCCTGTAAGCCTTCTCCGGCTTCAGGCTCCAGCACAACGAGAGGAGTCTGCTCCACAACGGGCTTCACCATCGCACATGATGACTGCCCGCTCCCCTTAGAGCCCTCACCCCCCTTTCCGCTGCTACCTCCAGAACCCTCTCCACTAGCGTCTGCCTCCTTATCCGCCCGCTGCTGACAGTACTTAGCAACATGCCCTGTCTGTCCACACACATAGCACTTTCCCTTGAAGCCCCCTTTCCCCCCCTTCGGCTGGCCATCCTTACCCCCTTTCCACTTCTCCCCTCCCCCACCAGCCCCACCCCCATTCTTAGGCTGCTGCTGCTGTGCCGTAGTGGGAGGGGAAGGGAATGAAGTCTGCTGGAATTGGGGCTTACCCTTCTTGGTAAAGACCTGGTTAGCCTGGGGAAGGAATTGGTCCTTTCGTCCCTCTGCTGCCAGCGTACACTCCTCCTCGATGATGTAGCTAGCGAGGGTGTCTTTGTCCAACTCCTTGCGCACCTGCGGCAATTTCAGCATCCTGCGTAAGAGTTTGTACTGCTGCGTCAACCCCTTCACAACGTGAGTGATGTACGACGCCTGCGAGTAATCTACGCCGGCCATCCTCATGTTCACTAGGATCTGCTGCGCACGGTTGCAATATGACGTGGCGGACTCGTGCTCTCCCATCTCGAGGTTAGTGAGCGCCTGCTCTAACTGACCGATGTACAGATCGTCCTTCGCCATGTACGTGCGCATAATAAACTGCCATGCCTGATAGTCGGCATCTACCCTCATGCGACACGCCTTAAGGGCGATCTGTACGGTTGGGGAGCAGCATCGGGAAATGGTGGTGAACGTCAGCAACTGCATCGCGCGGAACTGGGAGAGATGCGCAAGTGCACGCGCAGGTGGAATGGGGGTGGTGCCATCTATGAATCGTTTTAGCTGAGCGATCTCAAGCTGCGGCTCGATTGATTCTGTCCACGTCGACAGGTCGTGACGTCCTTCTAACGGCCTAGGGACAACGATCTTGTCTGGAGTGAATCTGAAGTAGCCATAGTTGGGGGCTATTCCCTCGTCCCTCGACATCGATCCAATCGGGGTAACGCCCGGCATAGCCTCACTATCGTACTCTTCCGCATTTCCTCCTCCAGCAACGCTCCGCCGTCCTACATTCGCATGCTCTCGTGACGCTGCTGCACGATGAACACGCTCCTGTACACCGCCGACGCTAGCCGTACTAAACCGAGTTGGTCCTCGCAGGACCCCACGCGACATCAACCCATCAAGCTCCTCGTCATCGCTATTTCCGCCATCGACAGCCATATCCCACGCACTAGTACCTCCCGCAGCTTGCTCAACATTCTCTACACGTGGCGAAGGGTGCTCACGACACCGACGCGAGCGCAATCCCTCCAACATTAACTCGTATTCGACATCACTAATCTCACCACGAGAATGTCGAGCCACGAGATCCTCCTCTAGGGCGCGCAAATTACCGGCCTCCACGTTCGCCTCCTCCGTACTCATCCTCTACGACGTCTCTATAAGGTACCACAAATTAAAATAAATTGTCCCTTCCTTGAATCCCTCGTCTCGGGGTCACCTCACAAGGGTCCTCAGACGAATGGTAATAAATTACCAAGCGCCCTATCCTTGGGTCCGAGAATGTAACTGGAGGGAAATCAAGAGAGGTTCAACTTAAATTAATAAGCGCCCTTCACTAACGCCGCACGCCAAGGCGAGTATACGAACGCGGATATCAACGACGACGAAAATCTATGCGTGTTCGTTCCACGCTCACCGCACCATGATGGCATATATTAGAGAGCGTAGCGATAACGAGAGAGTTTCTGCTATGAGAATGATGTTGCGCCAGCAACTTGGTAGAGTTTCGGTACAGTTTGCCTCTAAGGACTTAGTGAGGATTGAAGTAGCATTTGGGCCAAGTAGAATTGCAATATCAATTATGAATACAAAAGCAAACACACAACTAGATATAGGCTACGGGAAGGTTTCACAAAGTTGGCGTGGCACTGCGCAGTAACCCAACCCCACGAAAGTGGTGTGTGGGTGAGCGAACGCGCCTCGTCAACTTCCCAACCCAACTCAGCAGGGAAGTCAATGCCGAGCTCGCCAATTCTCCCAGCACAACTAGAAATGGCGAGACTCACAGAGAATCACCCACAACCACCAAGACCACCCAAGAAGCATGCCCACGATTTCCCTAGACTAACACCACCCCAGCAATGACTGTTTAGTGCTGCCGTTGTCACATCGCGTCACTACGCAACCATCGCCAAATCATAGGGTCGGTGCTGGACTGCTCGTCTTGGTCTTTCATAGTCGACCTGCCAAGTCAAACGGTCGTCGAGGGCCCTTGCTGTCGTAGGGCCCTCTAACAGTCATAGCTATTTATCTGTCAGCGCGAGGCTGCTCACGAAGATCCGTCGTGAGGCATCAAGAGGCGCGACTTGCGAGGTGTGCTACTTTGTTCTCTATTAACATACGGTATTTAGACGTTCATAAAAACGTCCTTCCAAAGGGAAACAACCTCCCATGCTGATCGCGATGAGCAGAACTTGCGAGCTGCGACATGTCGCACTTCTTTCGCGGAATGTTTTCGTTGGATCGCTTGTACGCACTGTGACCTGTCCCATGCCACAAACACAGGATCTTCTTGTCACGGAAGCCAATTACAGAACAAGAAGCTGCATTGTTGCAGATTTGATTCTGCCCGCACAGTTTTATTCCTCGAACACATTCGCTACTCGCACAAGATGGCTGCCCAAAGCAGAATTCCCTCCCTCCCATCCCAGTCGCCAGACTTTTATGGGCAGCCAAGCCCCATCGCGGTTCATCAGCCAGGTTCACACACTGATGAACAAACACCAACCCCATTTCCAGCACAGATGAACGCATTCCTCGGTGTTCACACTGCCGCCGCATTCCTCGCTTCATTTTCAACACCAACCCCATTTCCAGCACAGATGAACACATTCCTCGGCGTTCGCACTGCCGCCGCATTCCTCGCTTCATTCTCAACACCAACCCCATTTCCAGCGCGAAGACCGACGATTGTGCTGTGACCCGTTCCAGCCACACGCGATCGCGTTCCTTAGCGCTCCTATCGGAACTGCGAGCGTCGAGCGGTGGGCTCTCCCACTGGGAGCGTCCGAATCTCGTTTATAAGTCACCTGCTAGATCAGCCATGGACTCAACACTTCTGCCGCGTCTGCCATATCTTAGTAGTAGCGCCATGAGTCATACCACCGACTATCTATACCTGTATCAGCTATATACCGCGTCCCCCGAGAGTTTGTCGCTTGTCGCCGGAGGCTCCAGTCACTCGGTTGTGCGCGCACCCAGCTGACGCGGCAGTCGGACCCGCTGATAATCATGGCCGCTTCCCCTCCCGCGCTGCTTCCTTTCCTCGTCCTTACCGCCATCTGCGGTGAGTCCGTTCTAGTTTTGAGACGTCTCAAATCTTTTAGACGTTTCAAAACGTCTCTTTTAGACGTCCGTTACTTGTCCTTGGCGTCACCTCCGGTGAGTCGTTAATATCATTGTCTCTCTGCTTCGGCTGCCGCGTTTTCTCAAGCTTCAGAAACGTGCACGCTCTAACCCCCTCGCCCCTCTGCTCTCTCTGGCCCCTCTGCTCTCTCTCGCCCCTCTGCTCTCTCTGCGTCCAGCGGTCGCCACGGCTCACGTGGCGGCAGGCGAGCGCGGCGCGGATCGCCTGAACGCGGCGCGCATGCGAGTGGGCGGAGCGAGCAGCACTGTGACTGCGAGGAGGAGCCTCCAATTGAAGAGCAGATTTAATACATTCATGGCTGAGCAGATTTAATACATTCATGGCTGAGAAGATTTAATACATTCATGGCTGAGCAGATCTAATACATTTATGGCCGTGGAAAATGGGAATGCCGAGATGCCAGCGGGAGTTGGGGTGGGGGTTGGGATGGGGGGAGACAGCACGGGCGGGGCAGTGAAGGCAAAGGTGCAGGTGGCCACGCAGGTCAACGTGGTGCCAGCTCACCGCCTCGTCAGCTTTGACGCCCCAGCCACGTGCGTCACCCTTGAGCCTTCTGCCCAGGCGTCTCTCAGCGAGGCGAGCCAGGGCGTGGAAGTGTTGTGGCGGGGAGCGCCGTGGCAGAGCAACAGCAAAGGGAGGCGACAAGCGGTGTGCACCAAGGTCACGTTCTTCGAGAACGCAGCCTGCCAGGGCGTGCCGGTGGGCGAAGCCGTGAAGCCGCAAGTCCCCAATCTGAAGAAAAACTTCCCGAGGCCCAGGTGGGTGATGGTGATGCGTGCAGGTGGGTGATGTGACCAGGTGGGTGATGTGGCCAGGTGGGTGATGTGGCCAGGTGGGTGATGTGGCCAGGTGGGTGATATGGCCAGGTGGGTGATGTGGCCAGGTGGGTGATGTGGCCAGGTGGGTGATATGGCCAGGTGGGTGATGTGGCCAGGTGGGTGATGTGGCCAGGTGGGTGATGTGGCCAGGTGGGTGATGTGGCCAGGTGGGTGATGTGGCCAGGTGGGTGATGTGGCCAGGTGGGTGATGTGGCCAGGTGGGTGATGTGGCCAGGTGGGTGATATGGCCAGGTGGGTGATGTGGCCAGGTGGGTGATATGGCCAGGTGGGTGATGTGGCCAGGTGGGTGATGTGGCCAGGTGGGTGATGTGGCCAGGTGGGTGATGTGGCCAGGTGGGTGATATGGCCAGGTGGGTGATGTGGCCAGGTGGGTGATGTGGCCAGGTGGGTGATGTGGCCAGGTGGGTGATGTGGCCAGGTGGGTGATGTGGCCGGTGGGTGATGTGGCCAGGTGGGTGATATGGCCAGGTGGGTGATGTGGCCAGGTGGGTGATATGGCCAGGTGGGTGATGTGGCCAGGTGGGTGATGTGGCCAGGTGGGTGATGTGGCCAGGTGGGTGATGTGGCCAGGTGGGTGATGTGGCCAGGTGGGTGATGTGGCCAGGTGGGTGATGTGGCCAGGTGGGTGATGTGGCCAGGTGGGTGATGTGGCCAGGTGGGTGATATGGCCAGGTGGGTGATGTGGCCAGGTGGGTGATGTGGCCAGGTGGGTGATGTGGCCAGGTGGGTGATGTGGCCAGGTGGGTGATGTGGCCAGGTGGGTGGTGCCATTGTCGTGAGCCACTGTAAGGGCTGTTGTGCCTCGGGTTATGCTTCTTTATGATCAACAGCTTCTTAATCTTTTTTCTATTGTATCCGATCAACATGTCCTCTGAACGTGTTGTTCCACTCGTCCTTGCGAGTTTTTCCTCTCATCCCCAAATTCGCTTCTCTTTCCTGCGAGGCTGGTGCGTACCTTGCCACCTTGCCACCTTGCCACCTTGCCACCTTGCCTCCTTGCCACCTTGCCACCTTGCCACCTTGCCTCCTTGCCACCTTGCCTCCTTGCCACCTTGCCACCTTGCCACCTTGCCACCTTGCCACCTTGCCACCTTGCCACCTTGCCACCTTGCCACCTTGCCTCCTTGCCACCTTGCCACCTTGCCACCTTGCCTCCTTGCCACCTTGCCTCCTTGCCACCTTGCCACCTTGCCACCTTGCCTCCTTGCCACCTTGCCACCTTGCCACCTTGCCACCTTGCCACCTTGCCTCCTTGCCACCTTGCCACCTTGCCACCTTGCCACCTTGCCTCCTTGCCTCCTTGCCACCTTGCCACCTTGCCACCTTGCCACCTTGCCACCTTGCCTCCTTGCCACCTTGCCACCTTGCCTCCTTGCCACCTTGCCACCTTGCCTCCTTGCCTCCTTGCCACCTTGCCTCCTTGCCACCTTGCCACCTTGCCACCTTGCCTCCTTGCCACCTTGCCTCCTTGCCACCTTGCCACCTTGCCACCTTGCCACCTTGCCACCTTGCCTCCTTGCCACCTTGCCTCCTTGCCACCTTGCCACCTTGCCACCTTGCCTCCTTGCCACCTTGCCTCCTTGCCACCTTGCCACCTTGCCACCTTGCCACCTTGCCACCTTGCCTCCTTGCCACCTTGCCTCCTTGCCACCTTGCCACCTTGCCTCCTTGCCACCTTGCCACCTTGCCTCCTTGCCACCTTGCCACCTTGCCTCCTTGCCTCCTTGCCACCTTGCCTCCTTGCCACCTTGCCACCTTGCCACCTTGCCTCCTTGCCACCTTGCCTCCTTGCCACCTTGCCACCTTGCCACCTTGCCACCTTGCCACCTTGCCTCCTTGCCACCTTGCCTCCTTGCCACCTTGCCACCTTGCCACCTTGCCTCCTTGCCACCTTGCCTCCTTGCCACCTTGCCACCTTGCCACCTTGCCACCTTGCCACCTTGCCTCCTTGCCACCTTGCCTCCTTGCCACCTTGCCACCTTGCCTCCTTGCCACCTTGCCTCCTTGCCACCTTGCCACCTTACCACCTTGCCACCTTGCCACCTTGCCTCCTTGCCACCTTGCCACCTTGCCACCTTGCCTCCTTGCCACCTTGCCTCCTTGCCACCTTGCCACCTTGCCTCCTTGCCACCTTGCCTCCTTGCCACCTTGCCACCTTGCCTCCTTGCCACCTTGCCACCTTGCCTCCTTGCCTCCTTGCCTCCTTGCCACCTTGCCACCTTGCCACCTTGCCACCTTGCCACCTTGCCACCTTGCCTCCTTGCCTCCTTGCCACCTTGCCTCCTTGCCACCTTGCCTCCTTGGCTCCTTGCCACCTTTCCTCCTTGCCACCTTGCCACCTTGCCTCCTTGCCACCTTGCCACCTTGCCTCCTTGCCTCCTTGCCTCCTTGCCACCTTGCCACCTTGCCTCCTTGCCACCTTGCCACCTTGCCTCCTTGCCACCTTGCCTCCTTGCCACCTTGCCACCTTGCCACCTTGCCACCTTGCCACCTTGCCACCTTGCCTCCTTGCCACCTTGCCTCCTTGCCACCTTGCCACCTTGCCTCCTTGCCACCTTGCCTCCTTGCCACCTTGCCACCTTGCCTCCTTGCCACCTTGCCACCTTGCCTCCTTGCCTCCTTGCCTCCTTGCCACCTTGCCACCTTGCCACCTTGCCACCTTGCCACCTTGCCACCTTGCCTCCTTGCCACCTTGCCTCCTTGCCACCTTGCCACCTTGCCACCTTGCCACCTTGCCACCTTGCCACCTTGCCTCCTTGCCACTTTGCCTCCTTGCCACCTTGCCACCTCGCCACCTTGCCTCCTTGCCACCTTGCCTCCTTGCCACCTTGCCACCTTGCCACCTTGCCACCTTGCCACCTTGCCACCTTGCCTCCTTGCCACCTTGCCTCCTTGCCACCTTGCCACCTTGCCTCCTTGCCACCTTGCCACCTTGCCACCTTGCCACCTTGCCACCTTGCCACCTTGCCACCTTGCCACCTTGCCACCTTGCCTCCTTGCCACCTTGCCTCCTTGCCACCTTGCCTCCTTGCCACCATGCCACCTTGCCTCCTTGCCACCTTGCCACCTTGCCTCCTTGCCTCCTTGCCTCCTTGCCACCTTGCCACCTTGCCACCTTGCCACCTTGCCACCTTGCCACCTTGCCTCCTTGCCACCTTGCCACCTTGCCACCTTGCCACCTTGCCACCTTGCCACCTTGCCACCTTGCCTCCTTGCCACCTTGCCTCCTTGCCACCTTGCCACCTTGCCTCCTTGCCTCCTTGCCACCTTGCCTCCTTGCCTCCTTGCCTCCTTGCCTCCTTGCCACCTTGCCACCTTGCCACCTTGCCACCTTGCCACCTTGCCACCTTGCCTCCTTGCCACCTTGCCACCTTGCCTCCTTGCCACCTTGCCTCCTTGCCTCCTTGCCACCTTGCCACCTTGCCACCTTGCCTCCTTGCCACCTTGCCACCTTGCCTCCTTGCCTCCTTGCCACCTTGCCTCCTTGCCACCTTGCCTCCTTGCCACCTTGCCACCTTGCCACCTTGCCACCTTGCCACCTTGCCACCTTGCCTCCTTGCCACCTTGCCTCCTTGCCACCTTGCCACCTTGCCTCCTTGCCACCTTGCCTCCTTGCCACCTTGCCACCTTGCCACCTTGCCACCTTGCCACCTTGCCACCTTGCCTCCTTGCCACCTTGCCTCCTTGCCACCTTGCCACCTTGCCTCCTTGCCACCTTGCCTCCTTGCCACCTTGCCACCTTGCCTCCTTGCCACCTTGCCACCTTGCCTCCTTGCCTCCTTGCCTCCTTGCCACCTTGCCACCTTGCCACCTTGCCACCTTGCCACCTTGCCACCTTGCCTCCTTGCCACCTTGCCTCCTTGCCACCTTGCCACCTTGCCACCTTGCCACCTTGCCACCTTGCCTCCTTGCCACTTTGCCTCCTTGCCACCTTGCCACCTTGCCACCTTGCCTCCTTGCCACCTTGCCTCCTTGCCACCTTGCCACCTTGCCACCTTGCCACCTTGCCACCTTGCCACCTTGCCTCCTTGCCACCTTGCCTCCTTGCCACCTTGCCACCTTGCCTCCTTGCCACCTTGCCACCTTGCCACCTTGCCACCTTGCCACCTTGCCACCTTGCCACCTTGCCACCTTGCCACCTTGCCACCTTGCCTCCTTGCCACCTTGCCTCCTTGCCACCTTGCCACCTTGCCTCCTTGCCACCTTGCCTCCTTGCCACCTTGCCACCTTGCCTCCTTGCCACCTTGCCACCTTGCCTCCTTGCCTCCTTGCCTCCTTGCCACCTTGCCACCTTGCCACCTTGCCACCTTGCCACCTTGCCACCTTGCCACCTTGCCTCCTTGCCACCTTGCCTCCTTGCCACCTTGCCTCCTTGGCTCCTTGCCACCTTGCCTCCTTGCCACCTTGCCACCTTGCCTCCTTGCCACCTTGCCACCTTGCCTCCTTGCCTCCTTGCCTCCTTGCCACCTTGCCACCTTGCCACCTTGCCACCTTGCCACCTTGCCACCTTGCCACCTTGCCACCTTGCCACCTTGCCACCTTGCCTCCTTGCCTCCTTGCCACCTTGCCACCTTGCCACCTTGCCACCTTGCCACCTTGCCTCCTTGCCACCTTGCCACCTTGCCTCCTTGCCACCTTGCCACCTTGCCCCCTTGCCTCCTTGCCACCTTGCCTCCTTGCCACCTTGCCACCTTGCCACCTTGCCTCCTTGCCACCTTGCCTCCTTGCCACCTTGCCACCTTGCCACCTTGCCACCTTGCCACCTTGCCACCTTGCCTCCTTGCCACCTTGCCTCCTTGCCACCTTGCCACCTTGCCACCTTTTTTCCTTGTCACCTTGCCTCCTTGCCAACTTGCCACCTTGCCACCTTGTCACCTTGCCACCTTGCCTCCTTGCCACCTTGCCCTCCTTGCCACCTTGCCACCTTGCCTCCTTGCCACCTTGCCTCCTTGCCACCTTGCCACCTTGCCACCTTGCCACCTTGCCACCTTGCCACCTTGCCACCTTGCCACCTTGCCTCCTTGCCACCTTGCCTCCTTGCCACCTTGCCACCTTGCCTCCTTGCCACCTTGCCTCCTTGCCACCTTGCCACCTTGCCTCCTTGCCACCTTGCCACCTTGCCTCCTTGCCTCCTTGCCTCCTTGCCACCTTGCCACCTTGCCACCTTGCCACCTTGCCACCTTGCCACCTTGCCTCCTTGCCACCTTGCCTCCTTGCCACCTTGCCTCCTTGGCTCCTTGCCACCTTGCCTCCTTGCCACCTTGCCTCCTTGCCTCCTTGCCACCTTGCCTCCTTGCCACCTTGCCTCCTTGCCACCTTGCCTCCTTGCCACCTTGCCACCTTGCCACCTTGCCTCCTTGCCACCTTGCCACCTTGCCTCCTTGCCACCTTGCCTCCTTGCCTCCTTGCCACCTTGCCACCTTGCCACCTTGCCACCTTGCCACCTTGCCTCCTTGCCACCTTGCCACCTTGCCACCTTGCCACCTTGCCACCTTGCCACCTTGCTACCTTGCCTCCTTGCCACCTTGCCTCCTTGCCACCTTGCCTCCTTGCCACCTTGCCACCTTGCCTCCTTGCCACCTTGCCACCTTGCCTCCTTGCCTCCTTGCCTCCTTGCCACCTTGCCACCTTGCCACCTTGCCACCTTGCCACCTTGCCACCTTGCCACCTTGCCTCCTTGCCACCTTGCCACCTTGCCTCCTTGCCACCTTGCCTCCTTGCCTCCTTGCCACCTTGCCACCTTGCCACCTTGCCACCTTGCCTCCTTGCCACCTTGCCGCCTTGCCTCCTTGCCACCTTGCCACCTTGCCTCCTTGCCTCCTTGCCACCTTGCCTCCTTGCCACCTTGCCACCTTGCCACCTTGCCTCCTTGCCACCTTGCCTCCTTGCCACCTTGCCACCTTGCCACCTTGCCACCTTGCCACCTTGCCACCTTGCCACCTTGCCACCTTGCCTCCTTGCCACCTTGCCTCCTTGCCACCTTGCCACCTTGCCACCTTGCCTCCTTGCCACCTTGCCTCCTTGCCACCTTGCCACCTTGCCACCTTGCCACCTTGCCACCTTGCCACCTTGCCTCCTTGCCACCTTGCCTCCTTGCCACCTTGCCTCCTTGCCACCTTGCCACCTTGCCTCCTTGCCTCCTTGCCACCTTGCCTCCTTGCCACCTTGCCACCTTGCCACCTTGCCTCCTTGCCACCTTGCCTTCTTGCCACCTTGCCACCTTGCCACCTTGCCACCTTGCCACCTTGCCACCTTGCCACCTTGCCTCCTTGCCACCTTGCCTCCTTGCCACCTTGCCACCTTGCCACCTTGCCTCCTTGCCACCTTGCCTCCTTGCCACCTTGCCACCTTGCCACCTTGCCACCTTGCCTCCTTGCCACCTTGCCACCTTGCCTCCTTGCCACCTTGCCTCCTTGGCTCCTTGCCACCTTGCCTCCTTGTTGCACACATCGATTGCATTTCGTTCACTAAAGAGCGTCTGCCAGCCAGGCATACGAAAGATGGCCTTTCAAGCATCTCTGTGGTTCCCCGTGTCCGCGCAAATTGTGACAGCAAGGGCACCACTAATCGCCTCGTTTTCCTGTTTCCGTTTGCCTCCTTTCCCGCTCTCATGTCACTTGCGTGGCAGGTAACTGAATGCGCTTTGATGGGGGCAGGGTCTGCAACAAGTTGTGTCAGGGCCTACGAAGTGACAAGGAGTTTGAAAGACTTGCGGATGGCACCTGTGCTGGTGGGGCGTGGTGACCTGAAGCCCATAAAGCAAGTTTGCAGTGTTTTGTTGTTTCTCTTGTTTGTTTTCCCAGTTGGGGATGTAGGAGGGGAGGGGGCAAAATAAGGGGGGTTGGGCTGGATTGGTAGTGGAGTGGAGAAAGTGTAGTGGGAAGGTAGTGGGAGGCAGAGTTTCATGCCTTTCTTGCAGGCAGTATTGTACTACCAAAATTCTGGCATGCATGGTCGTAAAAACATTCTAATCAGCTTTTGCATTGTGTTACAATGAAAACAACGTTCTGACTTGCGAAAATTGTGCCTGAAGCCCGTCCACAACACAGCTTATAACGCCTAGTCGTTGGTACGGCGCAAAGAAGAGCACATGTCCTGTAGACAGCAGCAACCCAAGTGCCAGCCCCCCTGCCACCACCTTGGGTATCGATGCCAGCTCTCTCTTCCCCCACTCCTTCCTCACCCATGCCTCTGCCACGGTCAGTACACCATGTAGGGTGAAAAACACCATCTGTTCCCCTGTCATGGCTCCTCCAATGTACAGAATAACCAGCTCGTGCATGATTCCAGATACAGCAAAGGAGGCAATCGTTGCTGCTGCCCTGGGGAAGCTCATATGGCGTATGTGCCTGTTCGGAGAAGTACCGGTACCAGCAGCGGCAGCAGGTGCAGTGCATCCTTTCTGCTTCATTCCTTTTGCCTTGTCTAACCAACAAGTGTCACCACACTTGTCAATGAGCCCTTTCTGATTCTCTCCAGACCCGTTCACACAACCCATTTCCTGCTTCCGACTGCTCCTTTGACAGCAGCCGTTGATCCTGTCACTGTAACCATTCACCTTCTCACTGCAGCCATTTATCTTCTCAACCACTTCAAACCCATCAGAAACCCCGCAGCCGCGGCCATTCACCGTATCATGCCCCCCATTGGCTGCTGGATACCCATTTCCAAACTCAGAATTACCCTTCTTCCCTCGTGCTCTCTTCTCAGCTGCCTTCTCTCCTTCCGTTGAGCACGGGCGTTCAAGCCAATCCAATACGGGTTCGTAGACGGTCTCTCGCAGGCTACCGCTCACCACGAGGTTCCACCGTCGCGCCCAGAACGACCCCAGCGACGTCGCCAGGTACGGTCGACGGAAGTGCGGCTCCACGGCGAAGCGCGGGGCGACGGCGGCGACGACCCCTGCGACGAGTTCGCAGAGGAGCGTGACGAAGAGGAAGAGGTTCGCGCTGTGCATCAGCGTCACGGCCGGCGCGGGGAGGCTGAGAGCGTACGCTCGGATGGTGAGAGAGAGGAGGAGGGCTTTAAATGCGCCTCGTAACAGCAGCTGCGGCGAGGATTCGGAGGCAGGGTGCTTAGGCCGGCGGGGTTGCTGCTGCTGCTGCGTCTTCAGCTGGGATTTTTCGTTGTGGCTGTGTTCGGTGCTGGGAGTTTCATTCGAAAAGGCAGCGGCTTTCGCCGTTTCGCGGACGCGATTTCGCATGGGCATGTACAGGGCGACGAGGAATTGGAGAAAGCTGGAGGAGTAAGCCGCGTCCGTCAGCGAGCCGCGGTTCCACGCGAGAGCGAGCAGGCGGAAGTTGCCGAGCCACGACACGGTCCAGAACACGAGGCCCTTCTCGATGCACTCGCCGCGTTTCGCGGCGGAAAAAACGCAAGGGAGAGCGATGTTGAGGAGGATTATCGGGGAGAGGGCGAGGAGGCGAGGGAGGCCTTTGGGTAGGTGGCGAATGAGGACGAAGACGAGCGAGGAGGTTACCAGATTGCACGACGAGACCGCCAGCCATCGCTGGGCTTGGCTTAGATGGTCGACAGGCAGGAGGTGGAGCTCGTCGAAATCCATGGCGCGCGCGCGGCGCGAACTGTGTGGACTTTTGGGAAAATGCCGCGAGAATCAGAAAGAATTAGGCTAGTTAGGCTAGTTAGCGCTGCTAAGGAGCCAGTGAGCAGTCCGGATTATCTGCGTCGCATTATCACCAATCGGTAGCAAGCAACCATGAGAGCGCCACTTCATACAGAGTCGTCATCTCGTTGTGGGTCCTGGATCCCAAGCAGGCAGAAGCTGAGAGTGACACTGAATTTCCAGAACTGAAGTCCGATGTGCGTGTCGTGTTTTCAACCACTAGGGAAGTGTAGCTCACCGAGTGACCGCGCACCCAGCTCCTCCTCACCTCACCCAACCTTCTGGTAAAAGGAGAGTCTGGCTGGAATCGCAGAAGACGGCTTTGCCTGTGGCTAAAATCCTGCCATGTCAGCAATCAGGTGACGTGCCACGAATCCCCGATTTGGGAAGTGCAGGGGGTATGGTGAGTGCTTGTCTCGCGGATGCATACGGTTTACGGTGTAATGATGGACCAGCCTATAGCTCGCACATCCAGCATACTCGCTATAGTCATTCCTCTCTGAAAGCTCGGTCTTCAAATGTTTGAACCAGCCTGACTGAGGTTGTGAGCCAATCAGTACAATTCCCGCCTGAAGTAACACCAGAGCGCAAACACCCTGAAAGCACAAGCATACCTTCTTCTGACAATTGAGTTGACTGAGAATAAATACTGACAATAGCTGATGGGTAAGGTACCTGGCGGCGGTCTAAAATGCTGAAAAGACGCCGATAGTCGGCCGCAACAACACTAGGAGATTAAAACCAGGGTGCACATTCAACGCGGTTCGGCTTGAGATGTTGGGAAGGGGGTTTGGAGAAAAACAGTGATTGGCTCACGAGGGGCGACAAAAAAATGATTCCGCTAGAGCTTCGGGCATTTCGTAGGTGGCGGGAGGGGGTGAAATGGCGGGAGTGGGTGAAACCGAATGGCGGGAGGGATGAAACAGATTGGCGGGAGGGGGGGGAAACGAAATTGCGGGGGAGGGGGGAAACAAAATTGCGGGGGAGGGGGGAAACGAATTTCGACGGGGAGGGGGAAATGAAATTGCGGGGGCGTGGGGAAACGAAATTGCGGGGGAGGGGGGAAACGAATTTCGACTTGAAGGGGTTGAAAGCACACCTCGTAACCCACTCAGTCAAGGGATAACCTTTGATGCACATTCAGCTGAATGTGCACCCCGGTTTTAAGGTTAGAATGTCAACTTGCTTTAGATGGCGAGCCGAATTATTGTTTGTGGAAAATTTGGACCAGCACCAGTTGCAATGCGCAGAGTGACGAGAAGCTGGAAACGTAAAATCGTCCAGCCAGCCGCTCGCGTCCACCTGGTCATTCACTCGAGCGGCAATCACGCTAGCCTAACTTCCGCGCATTTCGTATCAGTCACGTCTCCATTGCGCCCGCGGCAGCGTCCAGAGTGAGTCTCGATGACATCAGCTACCATTCGTATCATAGCTTATCCCACTAGCATCTCCACGTCGCACCATATACCGTCATACCCCGGGTATACCCCCATGGGGGGCAATAATAAAACAGGTTTTTTCAGGGGGGTGGGCTTATAATCGAGTAAATTTATAAGCGCCGGCGTTTATAAAATGACATATATATTTTTTTCTATTTTTTAACACCAAACTGTAGATCTCGTGCTTGCCTTTCCAATCGAGTCGAAGTTACATGGGGTCGTCTGTGAAATTCTCGCGGGCGCTGGGAGATACACCCAATCTGACTCACATCCAGCTTTTGACAGCTCCTGCTGACTGGACCCGCATCCAGTGCAGGGTCCGAATGTGAAGGGAACCGAATCTGCAACACATCCGCCTGCTAAAGTAAAAATCGTTACAGCATTTTGAACACATTTCAAAATTTAAAGTTTACGTGCGCTTATAATAAAACAAGCTTTTTCAGGGGGTGCGCTTATAATCGAGCAGCGGATATAAGCGCCATGCGCCAATTAAAAGCGCCAGGCGCTTATCCGAGGGTGGCGCTTATATCCGGGGTATGACGGTAAGATTCCTCGTTATCCCGGAACGTTTCCCCTTGCTGGAATCGCTCCGGGAAGGCTTTCTCGTCACGAGAAGCACATCTGCCTCATTCGCTCCGACCTCTCGCAGCCTGAGGCGACGGGCCTTCCAGCGGGAGGCCGCATTTGCTGCTTGCTCTCGCCGCTTGCTCTCGCCGATTGCCTCCACGGGGGACTTCACCAACTCGACTATTCGTCTAGTTCGCTGACCCTCCCATCCGTTGCCTGGCCAAGTCGACTCACATGTTCTCGCCCCTTGCCGCATCCGGTGACTCTTGCAACTCGAGAAGTTGTATTCGTCAAGTCCTCTGACCCTCCCAACCGTCGCTTGGCCCCGCGGGCTGCTGTCTACTGTTGACTTATCGTTGTCGCCGTACGAAGATTGCGTGGCGGGGAGCGAAGAAGGAGGGAGTGAAGCAAGGGGGAGCGAAGAAGGAGGGAGCGAAGCAGGGGGGGGCGAAGCAGGAGGGAGCGAAGCAGGAGGGAGCGGAGCAGCGATGGTTGCTTCACTGGAAGGCGCGCGGAAGCAGCGAGCTCACATGGCGCAGGCAGAGGCAGTGGTTGTCCGGGCGGGCGAGTGTGGACTGATCCTCACGGGAATGCGCGTCGTGGTGGGCGGCTCGTCTGCCGACGTCATCGAAAAGGTCGAATGGGAGCGGGGTTGTCAGAATGATTGACAGGCCACGATATGCGTGTTCTCAGCTCAGTCGTTCCAGCGTGTTCTTAGAACGAGGGGTCGCCCCGGCCGTGGCGTTTACTATTTCTGAGACATGTGTCAAGCTGTCAATCCTCTCAGGTCAGCTCCTCTCAGGTCAACTCCTCTCAGGTCAACTCCACTC